CAAGGAGGAAGCTGCGCAGTGGCAGCGAGGTAAGAGATAAAGACGGAGAGTGGAAGCCATAGCCGGACTGCTCGCTCCATAGCTGGTGGTGGAGCAGCGGAGGTCCTTGGTGGAGCAGGGAGTGGGAGAAGGAAGAGCGGCAGTGTGACGAGGCACGTACCTGGTGTTGATGAAGGCAGGCTGTTCGATCAGTCTTCAAGCGGGCATTGGGATGCGGGATTGGGACCAGTTGCTGATATAAGTAGGCCAGTCTGGAGGTAAGATATAAAGACGGAGAGTGGAAGCCATAGTCGGGCTGCTCGCTCCATAGCCGGTTGTGGAGCAGCGGAGGTCCTTGGTGGAGCAGGGAGTGGGAGAAGGAAGAGAGGCAGTGTGATGAGGCACGTACCTGGTGTTGATGAAGGCAGGCTGTTCGATCAGTCTTAAAGCGGGCATTGGGATGACGAGATGTGGACCAGTTGCTGATACAAGCAGGCCAGTCTGACAGGAGTTGTAGGAGGAGTTGTTGGTACAGCCACCTGTAGGAGGGCTATTGTTGTTGTATTGGGGATTGGAGGCGTTGGAAGTACTTTCATCACCAAGAGACTTTGGTACTCTGGTCATTCCTAGTTGGTGTGAATCTCACTTTGATTTCTGCTTTCAATTTCGGCTCAACGATGTCTGGTCTTCTGTGGGATGTTGCAACTTGGTTTATTGCTGTTCGCAACTTCACATTGCTTATTTCCTTGCAGTTGGTTTTATCGGGATAAATTGCCAAAGTTGGTACTTCTTTCCCCCCAAAATCATGTCAGCCTCCAGGTGGCGGTGTGGAAATCAGAAAGATGCACCAGTTTGGCGCGAGAATTTATTTTGGGTTGTAGAATCCCTTTTTTTTCCTCAATGTTTTTTCTCAATGTTTTCCCAAGGGGCGTTTGCTTTGGGGGCAGAGAGAGAGAGAGAGAGAGAGAGAGAGTTTTCCATCGATAGGATGAGCAACGGGCGAACAGGTAAGCCTCCAACCCCGCGACTTGCCTCACGCTACTTCCATCAATAGGATGAGCAAAATCAATGAATCTTCCGCTAGAACATGGACATATACACTACTACACGTGCGTGCGTGCGTGTTTGTGTGTTTGTGGGGAGAGAGAGAGCGAGAGAGAGAGAGAGAGAGAGAGAGAGAGAGAGTTTTCCATCGATAGGATGAGCTATGGGCGAACAAATAAGCCTCCAACCCTGCGGCTGGCCTCACGCTACTTCCATCGATAGGATGAGCAAAATCGATGAATCTTCCGGTAGTACATGGACATATACACTACTACACGCGCGCGCTCGCGTTTGTGTGTGTGTGTGTGTGTGTGTGTGTGTGTGTGTGTGGAGAGAGAGAGAGAGAGAGAGAGTTTTCCATCAACAGGATGAGCAACGCACAGGCGAACTGGCAAGCCTCCAACCTTGCGGCTGGCCTCGCGCTGCTGGCCGGCTATGGAGGATGGCCGACGAAGGACTTCGAAGAGAGAGAGAGAGAGAGAGAGAGAGAGAGAGAGAGAGGATGAGCAACGCACGGGTGAACAGGTAAGCCTCCAACCCCGCAGCTTGCCTCACGCCAGGATGAGCAAAATCGATGAATCTTCCGCTAGAACATGGACATATACACTACTACGCGCGCGCACGCGCGTGTGTATGTGTGTGTGTGTGTGGATAGAGAGAGAAAGAGAGAGAGAGAGAGTTTTCCATCAACAGGATGAGCAACGCACCGGTGAACTGGCAAGCCTCCAACCCCACGGCTGGCCTCGCGCTGCTGCCTGGCTATGGAGGATGGATGACAGAGGATTTCGGTGAAGATGGCCGAGGCGTGAAGATGGATTGAGGGTCTTCGACTCTTCGATGACAACGGCGGCGCGAGGGCGAGGTGAGGACACGAGTGAAGTGTCTGGCGGCCTGGGCGGGAGATCACCTCACCCAGCGTTCGAATGTGAACGTTGGGACCAAAAAAAATTTTGGGCCTTGGCGCAGCCGAAAAAAGATTTGCGCGGGCTCGGTTTCATTTTATCGACAACCCCCCCTCTCACTTGCACCCCGCCCCCCAATTTGTTTTCTTTTTTGTTTACCCTTAATTTAGGCCATGCGGCGCACGTCGTGCGCTCGCTGCGCGATGCGGTGCACGTGTTTGCAGCAAGATCTTCTTTTTGTAATGACCCGCCAAAAACACAGACTGAGAACACTGCTTACTTCTGGGATTTGCTGCTGGAATGAATGCCTTGCTGAAATTCCCGCATTCTGCTGTGATTTCCATGTCCGTGTGTGTGTGCGTGCCTGCTGGTTTGCATGCCTGTCTGAGTGCTTGTCGGTTGAGTGTGCGTGTGACCCGCAAGGGTACTTGTTGGTTGAAAGGCCCCGCAGGGCCGGTACTTTACCTGTGGCCGTGACTGTGAAGGGTTGCAGGGGGAAAACACTCTAGTAGGGGGGGTAGGCCCGCAACACTTAGAGCAGAGGGGAAAACCACTCAAGTAGCAGGTAGGCCGGTACCACTGAAGTAGTGGTAGAAGTGTCGGGTACTGGAGGCCGAGCAAAAGACAAAAAGTTGGCATTTTTAGAGGCCTAGTAGCGGTAGGCTAGAGGTAGGCCGGTACCAGTCCAAGTAGCCCGGTGTCGCACTTTTTCCAGTCTGGCCTCTCAGGGCGACCGGAAAGCCAACAGGCTGTCACGCAGGATTTTGTATGTGATTGCAATAAATAAAATAAATTAAATAATACAAATCCCTTCCTGTTGTGTGCGTCCGGCTTCGAGCGAGACCCTTCAATTGCGATCCTCTCCGGTCCCCGACCTTATGAATCTTTTATTTTGATTCGGAACAATAGAGAATTACGCAAACAATAATCATAAAATTATGGGGTGCWATGCATGCA